TGTGAATGTTTTTTTTTTTTTTTTTTTTTTTTTTTTTTTTTGGGGGGGGGGGGGGGGGGCTCTTACTAACCTAGTTTCCTCAATTCTTTGAGTAAGTTAAGGAACCTCATTTTTTTCCGCTCAGATTTGTAGCCTAGGTGGGATGAGCACTGGCCATAAATCAGAGTGGAAAAAATGAGCTTTTCTAATTTACTATACTGACTGAGGAAATAAGGTTAGTAGGATGTTTATTATATCTCTGGGTTCAAATAAAGGGGAAACAGTACAACTCAAACAAAATTTTGAATTTGGCAGGCCATACAATGAAATGGGACCCACTAATCATAGGACACATACTGGTACACATACTGACTGAGAGACAAGACCAATTGATACTAAAATACTACAAGAGAAACTAGATAAATTGGATCAATATCAGTATCTGGGCAACTGCCCACCTACCCCTCCCCTAACCCAACAACAGTCAATTGATAACAAGTCAGGGTTAATGTTGGGTTAGGGGAGGGGTAGGTGGGCAGATACTGATATTGATCTGATAAATCACTGGGGTTGCTTGCAATGATCTAACAACTGTAATACACCTTTTTTTTAAAGCTTCCACCTCTAACCCTCAGACCCCTATGAGAGATTAGCATCTAATTTCTCCTTAAATATCACCCCTAAATCACATATTATGAGCATGAGAATAACAGAAATAATCACCAGTTAAAGGAGCTCTTGATTTTTAAACAAATTCTCCTTGTCAGCACCTTAGGAAAAGTAAAGAGAACAGTATGAAGAATATGCATACTGATGTTGGGGTGTAAAGGGTTAAAAGCTTTTAGTTGAGACATATTTCTCTCACAAGAAGCAAGACAGAGAACTGCAATATCTCCTTTGAACAACTGTAATATTCACCCAGGTGCTACAGAAAGTGGGATAACTGCAAAAGCAACAGGCTACCAGGCTTTTCACTCTTAACCCTTGAACCCCTAACAGTGACTACCATCTGCTTTCTCCTTTTAATATCACCCCGGAATTATATACGTTAAGATCATGAGAATAAATGAAATGACCACCAACTAAAGAAACTCTTGATTATTGAACTAATTATTCTCCTTGTTAGCACCTTTGGGAAATGTATAAAGAGCATTTTGGAGATCATGCATACTGATGTTAGGATGTAAAGGGTTAACCTACTCTGAGAGATTCTCAACTGAACGCTTGGAAATCTCCTACTCTTACAAGATGTAAATCTGCTTGATTGGTACAGGGCGTGAAATTAATTTTTTTTCCTGATAGCTACTTGGCTCCTGAATAATTCAAAGTGGTAGCCAATTAAAAAAAAAGTTGGTTGTCATTTTCAAAGACAGCATACAACATTCAAGCTCACCTAAATCCAAGATGGCATCTAGTTATCAATCAAGATGCATTTGCTGTGTTTTGGAAACAAACTTATCAAGGAAGTTTGCCGCAGATTTACCTTTGCAAATCTTTTTAATTCACTATATTATCTCTTTGTAAGGTTATGATGAAACATTCTAGTCACCAATTTGGTGACTAATTTTCAGGATTTGGTCACCAAAGTGAAAAATTTAGCCGCCCTGTGGTGTCACACTCACTTTTGATCGGAAACTTGATAGCACTCATAGTGATACAGCTGGTTCTCTGTCTAAAGTTTTTTGAAAGCTTTTATTGAATGTCCTTCAGGTCGTCACTTTACTGTCAGTCTTGCCCTCCCAGGCTCTATTCTGGATAATGCACAATCACCAGAATTGAGGACATACTTAGCAGGCCAGGTATGGTTAAAGGATATATTGTACATTTGGTAGAAGACTCCATTAATTTGATTGTAAGAGGTAAAATTTACAAAAGTAAAGATACAATTGCAAGTGTCAAATGAATCTAGACAAAAGTAATTATTATTGTATGACAAAGTCCAGATCTCTACTTGAAATGAACAATATGACTGTTTAGATTGTTTTTTGCCAATGCAGTGTAAGTTTGCAATGACTTTGTGTGAAGAAAGACTACATGTAAAGGCTACATGTAAATTGCAACTGACCTTCATAAATGATCCAAATTTTGTTCACTCTAACAATGGAGTATAAGAAGGCTTACAACTATCCTGACTACTCCTTTACAAGCTTTTTAAAACATAATTTCTTTCCTCAGACACTAGATTTTTATGGTATACAAGCTGACACAAAATAAAACTGTTACCCATTCTTGATGAGGATTTTACTGTTCAGTTGTGTTTCCCTTGCTCTAAGTGTTATACAAATGTGGGCTGATATAACTATTGGGGTTTTGCCATAGATTGCTCGTGCTCTAGCAGTTTTCAGTATAGATGAAGTTGTCGTCTTTGATGAGTCAGGAAAAGCTAAGATTGAATCTAGCAGTGGATTAAACCACAAATCAGACCCCAATATTTTGCTGGCAAGGATACTTCAATATCTGGAATGTCCCCAGTACCTCAGAAAAGACTTCTTTCCAAAGCACAGTGACTTGCAATATGCAGGTAAATGGCACATGCAGTATTATAGGACTTCTTAAAGTCAATGCCATATCTTCAATTTATTTCAGATGCTGTGGTAAAAGAACTCTTTTTTGCGCAATGTTTTTCTAAATATTTTTGTTTTGTTTCCTGTGTGATGCAAAATTTTCTTATACATTTAGTTATTTTTAAAAATATTTTCAAGAGAGCTGGTGCACAGAATGGACTTCGATGCATCCACCTAGCATTTCTCTCTGTGTTTCACAAGGGAATTGGAGACACTTTGGAAGGAGAATCTAACAGCTTATGGAAGTCGCTGAGGGTTTTTCCATCCCTTCTTCTACCTTGTTCATGGTTTTTATTTATGTTTTCTGTCTGCTGATTATTCCCTTTGAGTACACTTACAATGTTACCTACTAGCACACTGTGTACTATTTTTTTAACATCATAGTATTAACTAGATTTCAATTTACCCTTTAGGATTGTTAAATCCTTTGGATACTCCACATCACATGAAAGTGGATGATGATATGCCATACAGGGAAGGAGTAGTTCTTGAAAGACCAGCCAGGAAAGGTTATGGTTCATCTGTGAATGTTGGAATGAGAAAAGAAGTGAGAATCGATAGAACCATTAAACCAGGTTTGAGAGTCACTGTCAAGATGAATAACACTTCAGGTGAGTGAACGTACACAAATTTACCTGCTTCAAGTTTGTTTTTTTCCTTTAGTTTTTGTTTCATAGTAGTAGGTTGATGAAAATTCTACATGTACACAACTAACCCTGATGAATAGTGCCTTGATAAAATCATGGTCCTCTCAAACTTTTATCTGCTCCTAAAGTCTGAAATGATCTGAATTTCAGGACTGGGTTGTTCAAAGCTGGGTTAAGATAACCCAGGGTTAGTGTGAAATCTGGTTTCAGATTTAAAAGCTGTAAATGAAAATTCAGTCCAATTCTCTTCATCTATGATTTGATTATTTGATGCTCTAAAAAAGAACAAAGAAAATAGTCCCAAAAAGGCATTTGAACAAAGAAATAAACAAGCCCAGATTTAAATTTAATCTTGGGTTAGTGCACTTAGTGAACAGCTGGGCCCAGGGAGCTAACCATTGGACCATCTCATCTTTAACTTTTTTCTCTTAAAAAAAAATAAACATTTAATTTGATTGATTCTCTAAAGAGCTGGACAGACCATTCAGATGACATGTAAGCTAGAACCATCTATGAAAAATACACATGCAGCCTTACTTTATGCTTTGCAGTCATCTCAATCATATGGCAAATAAGCCAGATCTGAATTAAAGTAACACTTTGAAACATGTGTAGGAGGTACTCTTCACATAAATGTTGTGTTTGGTATTTGAGTAAAAAATTCAAAAATGAGTAAGTACACTAAACAAGGGTGACATTTTGTCTGAGTTTATTTTTCTGCTAAAAATTTAACAGGCACAAAGTTTTATACTGGAACAGTGGTGTCTCCCAGTGCCCCCAGAACAGAGCAAGGCCTATACTGGGGATATACTGTGAGACTGGCACCATCTTTTGGAGCAGTGTTTACACAGAGTCCATACAAAGATGGTTATGATGTCACGATAGGAACTTCAGAGAGGGGCACTATGGTAGATGATCTAGTCTTGACAAATTTTAGGTACATTTAGTGAACAAATTTGATTTGTAAAAAAGTTTTTATCAATCAAACATGATTATATGTACAATAACTACTGGTGGTTTGGAGAAACTGCATTCCAGGACAGGAGAAAGAATCACACATCCACAAGAATAAAGTGAATGATCACTGGCTAAAAAGGTTCTTGATTGTTACTTAGATTCTCCTTCTCAGCAGCTTAGGAAATCTGTAAAGAACGGTATGAAGAATATGCATACTGATGTTAGAGTGTGAAGGGTTAAAACTTTTGCCGAAAATGACTGCAAGAAAAATTACAACTATAGTTTCCTATATTTACATGGACCTAATGCATTCTTCTCCCAAATAGCTATTTCTACTTTTGTACATGAGCTCATTCTTTCGCAAATCGATTTATTACTTGCCTTTTTTTTTTAAGACATTTACTGGTAGTTTTTGGAGGATTGAAAGGTTTGGAGACGAGTTTAGAGTCAGACGAAACTGTACCGGCGAACGATCCATCTCTGGTGTTTGATCATTATGTGAACACTTGTCCTGGTCAGGGAAGTGGGACAATACGAACAGAGGAAGCTATACTTGTCACGATGTCTGCGTTGAGACCGATCATAGCAAAAGCAACTACGTGGACACAAACTATTGGGAATTCGTTGTAATGTGCAGTGGGACTTCAAATAAATTGCGATCATTTGTTCCTTTGTTATTTCCACCTAATGATGAAAATCCCTACTGAAAGCCAGTGTCCTTTTGTGTGTTGTCTCTCACCGCATCTTTTCCTCTCGTTATATATGATGAAGGAAGGTATTCTTAAACAGATTTTCACGACAGTGTCATGTCACCAACATCATAAATGGGACACTGTAGGTTTCTAACTGAGAGTCCTTAAATAACTTACAGATCAGAATGGCACGCAACGTGCTTTCTGTCCTACTAGACCAATGTGGTAGCCAGCTGAATGACGAATCTCTTCAAACGTTTATGACGGAGGTGGAAGCAGTAGTCAATAGCCGACCCTTAACTGTTAAGAATTTGACGTCGCCAGACGCATTAGAACCGATTACTCCCAATTACCTGCTTACGGGAAAATCAAGAGTCGTCCTTCCACCACCTGGAGAGTTTCAACGTGCTGATTTATATCTTCGAAAGAGATGGAGACGCGTCCAACATCTGGCCAACGAGTTTTGGGTCCGTTGGAAAGGAGAGTTCCTTCATACCCTTCAATTACGACAGAAGTGGGTGCGTCTGCGACGTAACCTCCAGCAACGACAACCTTCCTCGGAACATGTGGTAGATTGCTCGCATAGAAGAAGCTTACTGTGATCCTGATGGTTACGTACGAAAAGAAAAGCTAACAGTAGGAGATGCTACTCTAGATGACAAGGAACGTGGAGTCAAGCACACCAGTTACCTTGAACGACCTGTGCAGAAGTTAGTACTTCTCGTTCCAAGCAACGAGAACCGGAAAGTCCCCACCGAGAAGCCTTAGACTACCATAACTGGATTGACCCAAGGATACTAGGAACACTTATGAATTGGATTTGATTTAATATTTTCGATTAATACTTGATTGACTGATTTCTTAAGTTTTTATTAAATCGATTAGCTCAATTTATGGGAGCCATGTAACTGTTGTTAAGTTAAATATTAAGTTTGGTTAGACATTAGTGACGTGTAAGATCAAAAGGGCTTTTATAGTACCTCGTGCGTTGTTGCTTGAGAGAGAGTTAATTCGAGAGAGTTATCTGCGAAGTTAATTACTGCGTTCATTTCCGACTTCTATTCAGGCGTACAGAGAGGGACAACCGGTAAGCGTATTTTTCTCTCCCCTTGTTTTTTTCGTTTTCTCACTTAAATTCGATTATTGTTAGGTTTTTGTGCGCTCGTCTTTTCTTGTGTTGTTATGTGATAATTATTGTTTTAGCTTAGCTCCGTCTAATGCCGCTGAGATTAGGTTTTTTTTTGCTTGTATGTTAGTTTGAAGTGTTTGACAGCAGATTATTACTCTGCAATAAATCGCATTGGAATCACGGTTATACGTGTCTAGTGTCAAATTTAGTGCATCGATGTCCTTGTGAGAACTTTGAATTGCGACATCCCTACGCTGTAAACGCCTGCATTTATAAGAACTATCAACCATTCCTCGATATAACGAACATTATATGGTTGTTTTTCCGCGAATTAATTCGTGAAATCGAGGTTCCACTGGAGCGGTGTTTGGAGAATTTAAATCCCATGTCCCAGAATCGTTATGGACCTCACGGTCAACCGATGAAACTGAATGGAGTGTATTCCGTCATCCAAGATTTATTTTGCGCTATAGTGAGTAGTTTTTCCGCAGTTTACGAGCACTATAATCTATAAGATTCAGTTCTTGTTTCACAAAATCACGTTCTTTCCCTAGTTGACCTAGTTATGCGCGAGTCATACACGTGGATTTACATCACATGAACTTTGTTTCATACACTATAAAAAATGGTTGGCCCCTCTCTATCCAATCTCTTACCGTAATGTTTTATGACATATTTTTATATTTGATGCAGTTTTCGAATCGAAACTCATTTTCCCCGTCAAAAACAAGAGCAAATTTGCCAAACTTGCCGGCGGGGGAACAAAGTCTTTTCGGTCGTACTGGCTGGCACCGAGGAGCCGCTGGTTCAATTTCCTACAAAGATTAGTTGTCAACCAAATACGACTTTTCCGAACTCACTATGCTGTTTGGGGAGGAAATGAACATTTTTGAAAAATTGTTCAGGAAAGCCAACTTAATCCTTGGCTAAAATCACAAGGGTATCCTTAACATAAACATATATACATATGTGTATATATAAATAAATCAATCAATCAATCAATCTTGATTATAGTCTATCCTTGCGTATAGTGCTCGATGCGTTCGCAGAGCGTGGAATATCTGAAAGTTGGAAAAATCAATAAGACATAACTTTTCTGTGACTCTGAGTTTCACGCTTGCACGATCATCAGACAGATTTTAAAATCGGTCAGATGATCGCGTAGGCGGAAAACTCAGAGTCACAGAAAAATTATCTCTTATTGATTTTTCCGACTTTCAGATATATACATACATATATATATATTTATTGTTTTTTTAGAGGGCACGGTAACGAATCTTGCAATCTGATTGGTTCTTTACCCGGTCAGTATTTTCCTATCTCTGCCCACGGGCCACGGTTACGCTTTCGTGAGTCGCCGAGTACATCCCAACTTTCGTTATCATTTTTCATAAATATACCTCGTTTTCCGGCTGGGCAGTATTTTTAAGCAAACACGTCGGTCCCTACCTCAAGCCGATAAATAACTTATGAATCCTCCCTTTTCTCTCTATCAAATCACTTTGGTTGACAGAAAAATATTGGTTTCAGAATGAATTTGTATAAACAATAGTGTCATTACGTTGGTTGACAAGCGGCCTAAAAACCGTCTGCAATTAATTTTAATCGTTCACAAAAAGTACCCAGAAAGTTGAAACGTGAGGTATTTGGTTACAGTTAAACTGAACGATGGAACTTTCATTCATTTAATATCTAAATTTTCTCGAGCAATTTGTTCATAGTAAAAAAAAAGCGAGTGAAGTTTTAATTTAAGTTCTACAACAAATATACGCTCCTGGTGAGTCTTTCCAATTCCGTTCAATTTGGACATTTGTACCTTAAATTGCACAACAGAAATTGAAGGAATTGAGAAAAGGCTGCATTAAATTCCCTTGTGTCTCGTTGGAGTGTGCCGTTCGAATTTAGTTTTTGTGAAGGAGAGATCAGAGTTAAACACGCCATTACAGCAAACAAACGAGCAAACTCTCACAACTTCAAAATAAAAAATTGAATTTACTCACAATTACTTTCCTCGCCGTTTACTTAATGAACAGAGGTAAATCTTCGTACATGAATGAATGGTCGATGAGAGTAAATAATACTTTCCGTTAGATCAATAACTGATTTTTAAGAAAACATTGTCGTGACAGTCCTTGCCAAACTAGTTCTGTTGGTTTTCAAATGTTCCTACGATTTTTTTTTCTTGCGCGCTCTCTAATTGACAGGTGTCAGATTGTGACAGATACTTGTAAAAATAATGTTTCAAAGTTTGTTTGGAAGCCTTTTAAATCACCTTTATCGTTACGGAAATGAAAATGTTTCGCTGAGACATCTCTCTTAAATTTGCATCACCTCTGTTTTAACTACCATTTACTCACTCAAAAATTGTTCAGTTTATGGAAGATCTTGCAGTATTTACGGCCATAAGTCATTCGGGTTCTTTCGGAAAGAATTTCGTCAAGTTTAAAAACAATAAATATGTTATTTACGGGCTAAGGGTCGGTCCGTATGGTGAAAAACTGTGACCTCGGTCTTGAAAATGCTGCCCTCGGCCTACGGCCTCGGGCAGTATTTTCAAGACCTCGGTCACAGTTTTTCACCATACGGACCTCCCAGCCGGCAAATAACATATATATATCTGACATTGAAGGGTATGAAGGAACTCTCCTTTCCAACGGACCCAAAACTCGTTGGCCAGATGTTGGACGCGTCTCCATCTCTTTCGAAAATATAAATTAGCACGTTGAAACTCTCCAGGTGGTGGAAGGACGACTCTTGATTTTCCCGTAAGCAGGTGATTGGGAGTAATCGGTTCTAATGCGTCCGGCGACGTCAAATTCTCAACAGTTAAGGGTCAGCTATTGACCACTGCTTCCACCTCCGTCATAAACGTTTGAAGAGATTCGTCATTCAGCTGGCCACCGCACTGGTCTAGTAGGACAGAAAGCACGTTGCGTGCCGTTCTGATCTGTCGTTCCCAAACGCCACCCATGTGGCTAGCTGATGGGACGTTGAGTTGGATTCAATCCAATCGCAGTTAAGTTCCAAAAGGAAATGGCGAACGCGGGACTGGTCCACTGATGACAGCGTTTTCTCTAACTCGTTCTTGGCACCCACGAGGTTGCTTCCTTGGTCGAATCTGATTATTCGTACAGGGCCTCGTCGATTTATGAACCGGTGCAATGCGTTAATGAACGAATCAGTTTCTAGAGAAGTTTCTCTAGAGTTTTAGAGTTTTCTCTAGAGGGAGTTTCTCAGTTTCTAATTTTGTCTTCAGGCAGATTTGCCATTTTCTGCTCTTCTAACGCTCCACGAAGTTTATGGCAAGTCACGCATTTGGAGATGTAACGGGAAACTGATGAGTTTCCTCCAAATTATCCAGTATCCATGTGATCGCAGATCGTTCAGTGTAATTCCTCGGCCTTGGTGACGTATCCTCTCGTGATGATGTCTCACTAATAACATTGTAACATGGCCTTTACTCGGAAGGATAACTGGATGCTTGACATAATATGATATTGAGATGTTTCTGATCCGGCCACCAACTCGTAAGACACCATCCTTGTCTATGAAGGGATCTAGCCGATACAATGAACTAGTCTTCTTCATGGAAAAATTGTATCTTCTCGTAAATTTTCTTCTTGTATTGTCGTTGCTCATTCCTAGGGACTTCAGAATCTTTATTTCTTCGGAAAAGGCTTCTTCTTGAACTGACTTCAATACGGCTTGCTCGGCCTTCCGCATTTCATCTACTGACGGTGATTCGTAGATTTGTGTTTGTTTCTCTTTGCCTGACTTCTTCACGCCATGTAAGGGTTCTTTGGAACTGTGTTGAAGTGAGGCTATGAGTTTCGTGCATGCAGCAACAGCTCTCTTGGCTCTGTACCAATCGAAGAAGTACTCCAAGCGTTCGGAGATGGTTGCCAACCTTTCTGGGTGAGATTTAGTGGCGAAAACTTGTATTTCTTAACCTCGGAATCGTCTTGAGAGATGTCGATGTTCACTTCTTCATTTCTGTACGGAAGCTCTCGTTCCCGTAGGAAGGATGGTCTG